TGACAATCATATGTGATGACAATGGTGGTAATTGGTCTGGGTGGTGGTAAGCGACGATAAAGGTCATTGACAATGGTGATGGTGGGCGGTAACGATGATAGTGGTGGGTGTAAGTGGTAGTAGGCGACAACGGGTGTTTGTGAGCGACAATGGTAGAGGGTGGTAACGAATAGTGATAGTGGTGGTGATGGTGGTGGGTGTGGGTGATAGTGGGTGGCGGAGGTGATGGTTGGTGGTAACAGGTGTGGTGAGGCTGAGTGACAATGGGTGACAGCGATGATTGTAGGTTGTGGTAGTGGGTGGCAGTAGGTGGTGATGAGTTGATGGTGATAGTTGTAATAAATTTAAGAATGAGATGGTGAATAGTGGCAGTAGGCGACAGTGATAAAAATCGATGGGTGATGGTGGTGGTGAAGTGGCAACGGTGGTGATAATGGCGATGATGGTGGGGTAATAGGGGTGGGGTGGTAGCAATGGTAATAGTGACAACGGCGATGGTGGAGTGGTGGCAACGATGGTGTATGATTGTGGCAAGTGTGATGGTTTCATAGTGGGGGGTAGTGGCAACGACAGCGGTTGTGGTGGTGGTGGTTGTTGTGGCAGAGGTGGTGGTTGGGTGGCAATAGTGATGTTAGTGATGATAATGGTTGTAACATAGGTGATGGAAATGGTGGTGGGTGTGGCGGTGGGGGCAGCGAGGCAATTTCAAATGTTACTCTTTTTTTTTTAAAGTGTTTATGAGAAGTTATAAGTTTTAAAAGCACTTTTGAAAAGATACTCCAAACACACCTTTAAAGGACTATTTTCCTTATTAAATTTAAGAAGTTAATATTAATCATCGGATTAACTTTAAAGTTAAATTTAAAACGATTTCAACAATGAAAAATAAAAAATCTTTTATTTATTTTTGAAATTTGAATTGTTTTATATTTTACTGTATAGACGAATTTAAAATGCTTCAAAAAATGACCAAGTTCGAGATCTTCTTCTCCTTGTAAGTTGTAATAGAGTTTGTTACTAAGAAATAATTTTTCAATATTCTAAATTTTTTTTTTTGATTCAACGATTAGTAATTTTCTGATCAGCTTACGCGAATTTCGATTAATTTTCTCTTCAATGTATAATATAAAACATAGCAGATTTTAATAAGTTCATCCAATGGTTTTAAATAGACTTATTCAACGACAATTAACATTTTCTTCAAAATTATTCATATTACACTGTATATTTAAACACTAATTACTCTAATCCGATTAAAAATAAAACATTCATCCCAAGATTAGTTATTAAAATTTGAAATTAGAACCTATATTAACCCTCGAGTTACTCTTGGATTTATCCTATACGTTCTGTTAAATGGTCTGACTCGGTCAAATGTTGGAGCCAAAAATTACGTTTGATTGTCAGCCAATCTCAAGGAGTTTCTCGTTAAAATAAAATAAATTATTTTAAGATATGTAAAAGACAAGGGGAATGAATCTCTATCCCTGCGCAGCATAAGATACAGATATATGCAAATTAAATATTTATATAATAAAGTAGAGTTGAGTTTGAATTCAAAGACAAAGAGAAGTTTAAATCGTTTTAAGACAAAATATAAACATATCAAACGGACAACGTAATTCCAACATAAAAGACGATTCATATCATCTCATAAATACTGATCTGACGACATAATTGAACATAACTCTAATACTCCTATTTCTCATATAACACTCTCTCTCTTATCTCTTAGACATTTTAAATACATTGTCTCATCTCTTCTCTCTTTCTCTATATTTATGTAATAAAATAGCTAAATTATTTGTCTTTAATTTTTCGCGACTCAGATCGTTTTGATATGATGGTCCTCATTAGACTTTCATTATTTTTACAACTCTAAGTCTCTTATATAATTTTCTTTATCTATCTATCTTACACACACACTCTCTCTCATATACTATTATCTTCTTTTTTTTCTCTTGTGTTGTTTTTGCTATTAATTACTCCATAAAACATAAGAAATTATATGTCATCCAATAATTTATTCCTTGAAACTAATTCCAAATTTTTATATATCTGACCGTATGTATTTTGTCACTTACTTCTTAATTTGTAAATAACACTGAATGTAAAAAAAAAATAGCACATTAACTATAAACACCAAATAATATTTAACATAAAATGAACTTTAGATTGTAAATTAATATATATTTTTGTTAAAAATTGACACTTAATTTTCTCTAATTTATATTCAACTTTATCGAATATCAATTTAATATTAAAATTTATTTAATCAATTTTTTGGAGTATTAAATTATATCAATTTTTTGAGTACTAAATCAAATTTTATTTTATTTTATTAAAATTTAATTTTTTTTTTGTACTAAATTTGGAGAATGACAAATGTAAAAATAATACAAAATTTTAAGATAAAATTATCAATTTTTGTTTACAACATTGACGAAAGGGAGACAAATAGGGTCTCCATGCAATGAATAACAAATCTCAGGGGATCTCCGTGTTATTTATAAAATATCATGAGGTGTTCGTGTAATATTTCCAAAACTTAGGGAATATTCATGATTTTTAGTTTTTTCCCTATTTTTAATTAAACATTAATATACTATTATTTTACCTTAAAAACTTAAATTATTGTATTTCTAATAAAAACAATTATTGGTTATAATGGTTTTTTGGTAACTAAAAAAAATGTGTTAGTGTATTTTTGTGTATATTTACATGTGAAAAATTGAACATTTTGTAATTAAATTTATAATTATATTGCATCATTTAGGGTTAAATGGTGATAGTGATGATAAATTCATAAGTTTATAAATGAGCAAAATTTGGTTGATTTTATTTATCTTTTAAAGATTGTGAATTTAATTGTATTTTGTTATATATATATATATATATATATATATATATATATATATATATATATATATATATGCTTGATATATTTATTACATGGAAATAGGGTGGATTGGAAAAATAGTAATTGAGTTGATAATTATGTTGTGTTATTGGATGAAGTGGTAGTAAAAGTGATATTTCGTGAGTCTTATAAATGAGTAAGATTTTATTTATTTAATATATTGTTTAAAGATTGTAAATTTTAATGGATTATGTTAGTATTTTTTTTTCATAGGTATTTGTGTGTATGATGTTATTTTGGAGAATTTTTATATATTTTTATAACAGTTCCATTAATATGAATGATATAATTAATAATATATTTTGAGTCATTTTAAAAAAAGAATTTATTTTTAGGTCATTTTTTTAAAATTTGGACAATTATTTAAAAAAATTTATTTGTTGTATAGTACCTTCTAGTACGGATAATAACTATTAATCTAATAATATAAAGGGTAAATGTATCCTGGCAGTAGAGACTTATCTTCTATGCGAAAACCCCGAGGACATTAAAGATGGTTACTGTTTAGATAGATAAAAAGAAAAAATCAGTGAAACCCACTAGATTGCAAAACATACTTAAACATTGTCGGAACTTGACAATAAATTAAATAAATTTTAATATCTTCGGGCTTTTTAAGAAGATATATACTCTCTATAGAGTTTTATATAGTCTTAGGGAAGGCTGGGGGGGGATGGGGTGTCAAGATCATTTCCGATAATCAATAGGTGAAGCGAATTTATTATTCTAGGCCCGACCCTAATAATTAACAAAACTTAAGCGATTTACAAATACAAGACAATGATGAATTAAAATCACTACACATAGAGAAATCTATACCCAACTCTCCTTATTTTGGTGTTGATAGAGAGAAAAAAATTGTCAGGAAGACAGAAGAGCTTTTGTTTGTTTATCATAAATGGCCAAAACAATGCAGTGGAGGAGAACCTATCAGCTTTGTGTACTTTTAAGATATTTACACAACACTACGGGTCAACAGTACAAAGTATGTAGAAAGAAGAATAAAGATAGCTAGCTTATGAACAAAAATGAATGAACAGCCCTTTTGATTCTTATTTTTCTCTTAATCTAATGTCCTATGCAATAAAACTTATCAAGAAATTCCTTTTGTATCTAATTTAATGATTTTATCTTATAGTGACACGATGAATCATAACTATTGAGTTGATAGTGAATTTCAATTAATAGTGGGATCTACTGTCAATCTAATGACGGAGAATGATAAGATAATTGATTAAAGTTCATGTAACATTGTGGCTGTACTAAGTTTAGAAATAAAAATTGTTTTTATAAAAAAAAATATTAATAAATTGTATTAAATTCAATTTTCCCTAATTGACTCTTATTTTTTCTTTTAATCTAATGTCCTGTGCACTAAAACTTGTCTGGTAGTAATAAGTTTATTTCCAAAAAAAAAAAACTAACACTGCCAAATTGGCTGAAATTCTATTTTTCATTTTTAATTTTTCATTTTCCATTTTCCATTTTCCATAAAACAATGATGGAGGGTCCTCATAAATACTATCAATGAATCTGCAAAAGTTGCCAGCTTTAGGTACTATGAATTGTTTGGCAAAAAAGCATCTAACTGCATTCAATTCTCCTTAAGAGACTCAACAAAGCCAAGAGTGTGCTATGTGCAAGCTTCCACCTACAACCCTATTGTGACCCAAGACAAACCCTACCATACCAAAAACACTAGTGCACTAAAAAAAACACTCACAAATTTTGGAAATTTCCCTAACAACCACCACCATATCCTTCTAATTCTGCTTTCCCAATTAGAAATGGTGAGTTAAATATTCATTGATCAGGAGAATGGAAGGTTTATACATAGACTATAATCAAAACCTCCTACGTTTAAAATTTTGTAAGTCTAATTATAACAATGAAAAATTATGTTGATGGAAGTTTCGTAAAAAAAATAGTGTAAATTTCATTTTAATGACGAAAATTTCATTCACTCGAAAGTGCATAAATCTGGTTTTAACCATGTAAAACCCATGCACTCAATTGTTTACTGTCATTTGTCAAGGACTATGGAAGATCAAAGAACTACTTGTATATGATCTAAAAAAGAGCTAGTTGTACATGAAAAAGAGTACCAAAGAAACTCTCCATCATATCCGATCACAAATATATATATGAAGTTCCTTTTATTATATAGCGAAGTTACTTGGAACCATAGCACAAAGAGAAGTGACTGAGCCATAAGCACTTATATTTAATCACTTACAACTAGTATTATTAGCTAATATAAACACATGAAGCTTTGATGCCACCTCTTTGATTCTTCAACACATGACATCCTTGAGAAGCTTGTACCTGCGAGTAGTAGGCCGCGGCGACGGTGCTCCAGTCGGACTTTTTCCCTTCTCGGTGCTCTCTTCACGATCATGTTGCTTGATCTTGTCGCCGGAATACTCCGATCTGTTGGTGGTTCCGGCCTCATTTCCGGCCGCTGGTTTCTTTGAAGAACCGCCATGTCTGGCACTTCTCTGCTCACTTTGGCACCAATCACAGTGTTCAATCGGCTCCGATGATTCGCTGTAGTAGTTGCTGCAATACCTACAAATTCAAGAAGAGTTTAAGCACATATATATAATTGTATGTAGTTTACTTAAAATATAACTAACAAACAAACGTGGTATTGTTAATTAGTATAATAGAAATGATTTTGGCATCAAAATAGAATAGTGTGTGAGTGTGTTGTGGGTGAGGGGGGGTGGTGGTGGTTGTGCTAGAAGCCTAGGAGTAGGATGTTACCTTGGAGCATGGTGGTGGTGGTGGTAGTAGGTGGTGTTTTATGCTGATGGGTATGGATGATGTGAAACCGTGAAATTCAACGATGGGTATGCGGCAAAAACGATGATCATGATATATAGGGCCACACACCCAGTGAGACACAGAGATATACATATACAATTATACATAGATGTATGTAATTTCAGCATGGCGGAGGCAGTGGTGGCGGTTGTGGTGGTTGAAGAGGTGTTTTATGCAGATGGGTATCTAGTATCTACCTATGATATGCAACCCATAAAATTCAACGATGGGTATGTACCAACCATGATGATCATGACATCAAGGACCACACAGAGAGTCGCACACAGAGATATACATATACATACATATATATATATATATATAAAGGTTTATGGAAGATGATGATGATGTTGCGCGTACGAGTGTTGAAAGCGGTCATGGCACTTGGTGCAGCGGAAGAGCTTGTCAGGGAAGCCTATGTCGCCACACATACAACACACAGTCTGAAGATCTACCATTGTTGAAGCTTCAATTGATGACCCACCAAGGAGAAACGGAAGGAAGAAGAGAAGATAACCCCAATGACGGAGAGAGAGAAAGATAGAGAGAGAAACTCAAAAAGCGTAATAGATTGAGTCGGTGATACATCACATATATACAAATAATTTTCTAATTTGTATATTATATATGATAGGGATATATATAGGTAGACCACAGGTAGCTTGCAGTCGTTTTCGGTTGTGGAGAGAGAGAGAGAGAGAGAGAGAGAGAGAGATGTGAACCTTAAAATTTAGATGGAGGAAAAAGGCCGTTGTGTCCCAAAGTGAGACTTTACTGCATTTCATTTCTTACCTCTTGGTTTCTGTCCTTTGTCAATTTCTGATTTTAAACCTTTATGAAACAAGATCTTAGGTCATTTGTGGAGATTCCCCTTCTTACATTAAACTTTCAATTAATTTTAATCTACAGTAAATTACCATTATTTTTTTTAACGGTCAAAGATATCTTGATCATTTTATACACATCTCGACTAATTTCCTCTTCGATCTGATCAAATGCAAGTCATCCACGTCTCTCGTAGTATGCCCCACAAAATTATCAAAATTTAAATTCAAGACGTCTAAATTTATAATTCGTCTTTATTACCGTTTGAATTACTCATTGGAGTTCACCGTATAAAAATGATGAAGAACTAATTTTATAATTACACTTGGATCTACGATAAATAATGAAAAAAATATAATCCAGTATGTCTTGATCACTTTTGAAGAGCGTAAAAAAGAGTCCTCAATTATAAAAAGGTTGAACATTTAAATTATATGACATATAATGTGAAAGTATATTGAAGAAAGTCTCACTCATTTCTAAAACGCGTGAAAAATACTCTATAATTATAAAAGGATTGAATCATATATAAGTAGGTAATGTGAAAGTGTAATGAAAAATGTCTCAACCACTTGTAAAGAGGGTGAGAAACACGATTATAAAAAGGTTGAATTATATATGATAGTTCGTGTGAAAATGTAACAGAAAATATCTCAACGACTTTAACACTGCGTGAAAAACACTCAGCTAGTTATAAATGGGCTGAATCATATGGCCTAAAATGAATTTAATTTTTTTTTCCTTGTGTATGATTTGAAGGCACTAAGGAAAAAAAAATCAATTGTCGAATCAATAAAACTTCAAATAGGAAAATAGACTAGACCCCTGGAAACACAGATTTCTATGATATCACATTGAAGCAATTACTTATAATCAATAGACAATAAGTAAAGGGACCTACAATTTATAATTATAGGATAATTGTCTAAAAGTCTGGGTGTTTATTTAGAAGAAATGAAAGATCTTATCTGATACATTTTGCTGAAGGACTTGACTATGGTACCCAAAAAAAAATTGGTGTTGTACCTCTAAAATTTATTATTTTAATTGGTATTTTTATAATTTTGTAAGTTATTTTACAACTAAAAAATTTATCATATTTGTGAGTGATTTATCACATTTGTTAGTGTTTTTACCACTATTATAGTAATTATTTTTATCACTTTTTTTAAAAAAAAATTATCATTTTTATAAATATTTTTATCACTGTTGTGAATTCTGTTATTTGTTACCACTGTTGTGGTATCAAATAAACGTGATAAAAATAATTTCTACAAAAAATGTAAAAACATTTACAACAATGTTAAAAATACCCATTCTACCATACATATGGTAAATATCAGGACAATATTAATGTATATTTATCTTTTTGGTACCATAGACAACTCTTTTGTTGAATGATGTTTTTTTAAATAATTCAGAGATTCAAAATCAAGTAAAAATTCATACAAATAGTAAATAATTCATAATATGGTAAATATCAGGACAATATTCAATTTATATTTATCTTTCTGGTACCATAGACAACTCTTTTGTTGAATGATGTTTTTTAAAATAATTCAGAGATTCAAAATCAAGTAAAAATTTAATTTTTAATCATATGGGCTCTTAGCTTGCCATTTGGTTGGGCCGCTCGGCCATGTGGGTGGATTCGAGGAGTAGCTATTCAATATAACAATTAGATTATGTTATCATTAGGTATAATCCGTGTTTAAAAATACTGTACATTTTAAAGAAAAAAAAATGGCTTCTTTGGCAATGGAGTGACAAGTGAGACGAGGGAGGATGGGATGGATTTAGGGAGAAAAATATATTGGAATAAAATTTCAAATAACTAGTTGATTTATTATATAGAATGTTATCTAATGGTATCATTATTTAACATAAACATAACAAAATTATATGGAAAGATAATTATTTAATTGTATCATTATATGAGAGTCGTTTATTTCAATGTTTTAAAACTTGGGCCAATTTGGCGAGTTGACCCAGTGAACTGGTGAATCGGTGTCTAAACTGGGTCAGTTCAGCTATTGGATCGTCTATCTATAAAAACTGAAGTAAACCCGATAAACCAAAAAAAACTCAAGTAAAATCATCAAATCGGATGGGTTCAATCAAATCAGCTGGATGATTTAATCTAGTATAAAACATTGATTTTTGCCCCTTTTGGGCATTTTTCCCTAAATTGTTCCCCCCAACCCCCTTCTTTGCAACGATGGAATGGTGGATGACATTCCATCAGCATGAATCTTTCTCTCTCTCTCTCTCAAACTCTCTTTAGTCTGGTTTGGTCTCTGTAGTAGTGTGCAGTGGGAGCACGAAAGGGAGTAAGCCTCGAATAGGAAACAACGGGTACATACTACATACTGTCATACTCCCTTTCTATCTCTCTCGATCTGTCTCCTTTCTCTTTCTTGGTTTGATTTGTATTTTGGTCTTTGCCTTTGTCTTTTCTGGCCTCATGAAGAACTAATGGTCTTAGATTGAAGATCGGTTTGATGATTCTCTCTCTCTCTCTCTCTCTCATTGGATCTAGTGAAGATTCGAAGGCTGGACATGGACTCGATTGAACCTCCATCGACATCGACAATAGGTTTCGGTGCTCATTCACTACACATTTTCTTCCCTCAAGCGAGACACCAGGCACCAGCAGGTACATTCTCTCCCTCCTCTCTCGCTCTCTCTGCATACTTTGAACTTACGTGTTGATTGATTCACTAATTGTATGGTTTTGTTGATATACTTAAACTACGATGGTTTGTATTTAGGTTTTATTTGGTGAAAAGTTTAGTTAAATTTGATTTTATATAAATTTTATTATGGTGATTAAGTTTAATTTGATGATTTTTTGGGGGGTTTGTTTGATTTAATATAAATTAAGAATACTATTTTCATTGATTTTTTAACTAGTAACTCATTGACCTAGTCTCTCTCCTAAATTGACGCCGGAACCAATTTTTAAAATTATGATTTATTTATTTCACTTAATCTTTTATTATGTGGTAATATTACGTGACGATAACGATTTAAGGTGACTGTTACATTAAACACTTTTTCGGAATCAGTGTCACGAGATGGGACCCTGGGCTATCTAGAAGCTAGCCTGACCTACGACCCATACTGCTTGTGAGCCTCGGGTTCAAAATACCGATTCTATATAGTAGTGGTAAATGGTTAAAATAGTAAAAATAATTGCATTATTTTTTTTTTGTTGTTACATATTTTTCGCCAACCATAAAGCAAAATGAGTAAAATTTTATTATTTTTATAATTAATAATTATAAATAAATCTAAGTAAGATCTAAGCTTGCAAAATTGTTTTCAATTATAATACTACAAAATTATGTAAACATAAAATATGTCTAATTAATCATCATTAAATCACATATTAAAGTTAACGATTGGTATTAGACCAATTGCCCATTGTTAGACTTAAAGATCACGAGTTCGAACTTCGTCTCTCTCTCCTATAAATGTCTGTTTGACTAAAAAATATATATATTAAATTACAAACACATAATAGGGCGTAGGGGTAATCATTTTTAAATCAACAACAATTGTTGTATACATCTTATGATACTCGACCTTCGAGATTCGAGATACTAATTATTAAAATGAGATTCAAATCCTCTTCATTGCACTTTTGTTATGTGATTTTACAAAATGATAGATAATTTACTATGTATAAATGAAGAGTTCATTTCTAAATAATAAATTTTATTTAAATCTATGATAAGTAATTTACGACTGACCAAAAATATATGTGAAATATCTCAATCTATTGAAAATCCATCGTAAAAAAATCCTAATGAACTTATCAACATCCAATGGCATAAATTAATGGTGTACAAACCTTCAATGTGTGATATGCAACACCCAACGGCATAAATAGATAAGCATCATTTGGGGCAGCCTGTTTCACCTACTTTTGGGCGGATTACATTCGGACTCCCTAAAGTTTGTGATTTAATTATTTATATATCTTAATATTTAAAATATTATACACAAATCTCTTAAAATTTATATACACGTAATACTTAAATTTCTGTCGTCAATCTCCGTTAGTATATTCGTTAATAAATTATATCCAGACCCCCTAAAATTTATAGGCGTTTAATATTTAGACCCCTTAAAATTTATAGACGTATAATACTTAGACCCCTTAAATTTAAAATATTTTACTTAGGCAAAAAATACTGTAATCAAAGATAAAATATTAAATATTTTAAATTTAATAAAAAAAATTCATGTTCTATTACGACATTTATTAAAATAAAATTAAAAATAAAAATTTATTTTTTTAAAAAAAAATTATAATTAGTATACAATTATTCTATATATTAGAATTTAATTTGGTCTCTTAACCGGCCAAATTAAACTACCAAATTACTCAAATTAAAGTTATAATGTATTGTGTTCATTACAGTTTAATTCTTTGTTTAACTTTTTTGTTTTATTCCAATAAATAGTACAATTGTATACTAATTATGATTTTTTTTTAAAAATAGATTTTGATTTTTTATTTTATTTCAATAAATAATATAATAAAACATGAATTTTTGTTGTAAAAGTTATGTTCTATTATGAATGATTTAGACCCCTTGTTTGATTTTTTAGTTTTTATTATAATAGATAATCTAATTGTATAATAATTAATTTTTGATTTTTGATTTTATTTCAATAAATGATATAATAAAACATGAATTTTATTTTTAAAATTTAA